AAATGAAGAAGGGTTTGGTTCAAGGTCATTTCAGCTTGAGCACATGTACTTTTAATTAATATGATGATTTGATTAATGATGGTCTCCTGGCTCCACAGCAGCTTCACAAGAGCACAGGCCCTCTCTGTTTTTGCTTCTCTATCATCTTTTGACATGGTCTAAAACACTGAATACATTAGCTGTTTGCTATGTTAGATGAAAATATTACTTACATAATTGTATGACCTGGAAAACACTGGAGAAACCAAAAGAGAAACTTTAATAAAAAGCATTTTAATGAAACTTAAGATGTTTTAATACCTTTTGCCTTAGTGTTAATCAAGATGAGAAGAGTCTTCCTTACTCTTTATAAATGTAAGAACTTCTCATTAATTATTTTTTCTGTTTAGAAACTCAATGGTTTACCTTTATGATGCTAATCCTGATGCATATATTTATTGCAATAAATATTCAATGAGCAATTCCAAGTTCAAAAAGTCATTCTTAACAGTTAGACCTGGTGATGAAATTTATTGAAAGAACCTCTTCTTATCGAGCACTTAATTTCAGTTAACCCTATACCAATCTTATGAATCCGTATTTAACAAGCAGGGGAAACTTCATAATCAACCTTTACCATGGTCAGAAAGAGTAATAAGAGTCTTACACACACTGTCCAATTCAGTTCTCACAACAGTTTTGTGATTTGATTATTTCTGTTTTACAGATGAGAAGGTGAAGGTGAAAAGTGGATAAGATTAAAAAACAAATAAAACAGAAAGCATGAGCATGAGGATTCGAGTCCAGGCAGCTTGCCCCATCCCTGGATTAACCACTGTACTCTCTGCAGTCCATTATGAAGTTGTGAGGAGGCAGTGGAACACTCAGAAAAATGGATTTATTTGGCTTTTATTTTTAATGAGGCAGCATTGATTTACAACACTGTATATGATTCAGAGCTATAGGATCACACCCTGCGAGTGTAATTACCACACCACACCCACCAAAAGGAAAATGAATTTATGGCGGGATGTGCAGTATGTGCTATAGTGTGAGGTCGTTTCTCTTTCTCTTCTTTTAAGGGCCTTCACACTCATTTTCCTCCTGGTGCCACAGTAAACCGGTCACCCTTTTAGCTGCTTTCTTGTTCATTTTTTAAACGTCCATTCATTGAATCTTTAAAGGAAACATTTAGCTACTGCAATCGGTGTAATTAAAGTGGTTGCATAATAGAAAGGAAACAAGCCAGGAGTGGAGACTTCATTTCTAAGGAAGGATTTTGAAGCAGACTAAGAGTTATTTCACAGAGTGGGTCATGAAACTCTTCTCTATACCCTTTCATTGCCATGACGACAAGCTGCTCCTGCTACATGTGGCCAGAAAAAGCAGCTGACATTTCAATGCTAGGAACACAGGGTAGAGGTTTACAAAAACAAAAAACAAAAACTGAGCCCTTTCATTCGAATTTCAGTTGAGAGTGAAAAATACCCCCTAGTGCAAGTCAAAACCCCTATTCTTGCTTTTAGAAAAGATAAGAAAAGAGAAATGTTGGAGGCCCTCTCCCTGGTCCAAGTAGGCCAGTTAAACAGAATTGACTGCGAAGCAGCATTTTGTCTCTCTTCTTAATGGCAATCTGAAACAGAAAACTCCCTTTGGTTTCATTTGACTTGGCCATTAAGAAGCAACTAATTGATGAAGCATAAAGAATACTATACATCATGTTGAGACCCTCTAGGGGAACCCAGTAGTATCAGATTTATTTTTCCATTTCATTGGATAAACAAGGACAAGGAATTTAAAGAATATTTTCTTCTTGATCCCCAATTTTACTACCAGAAAGATCATTCCAATTGCATAACTGAACACTTTCTCAGTAATACATGAGACTTCTTGTAAGTAATCAGGAAATTTCGTATTAAGCAAGGCATTTAATCAACATCTCATTTAATTCTCTATCAATCCCATTTGAGGGTATTTTTATCACTATTCCCATAATAGGTGAGTAAACTGAGTCTAGGAGGCTTGACATGACTGCCCAAGTTCTCAGTTTGTGAGACAGAACTAGGATTCAAAGCCAGGTGTGTTAGATTCTCAAATCCATTCTCTGTTCACACTACTGTGTTGATTTGAGGCATAGATCTGACATAGACACACACAAACACAAACACACACACACACACACACACACACACCCCAGCAAAATTTGTCAGTACAAGGAAGGATACCATGAGGAGTAACCTAGAGTCAACTCCCTTTCAACAGAGTATCAGAGTATCAATTGGGACATTTAGGTCACTAATGCTTTAAAATGAGCTGTGATCATTGATTGCTTCCTGTGCACCAGACTTAGCTGTTTCTTCACTCAGTTTTTAGAACAAATCTCTGCGATAGCAACTAATTTTATGACCAACACTTTCACAAGTGAGGGGACTGCCAGTCAAAGAGTCATTTGCCCAAAGTCATGGAAGTTGCTCAAGCCTAGATGTAAACTAGGACTGTGTCCAGAATCCACTCTTACTCACTTTATTACACTGTCTCCCAACAACTAGTCAAGACCACACACTGTTTCTATGAGTTCTGTCCATCTTTATATATATATATATATATTTTTTATATTATTTTTCATTTTTGCACAATGTATGCTTTTTCATCTTGGTTATAGTCCCCATACAATTCCCACCGCCTTTATTTTGACCATAATCTCTACTCCCACGCCCACCCCCTCCGCCCTTAGTGTGTCTCTGGCTTATAGTTGCTTGTTGATTTTGATTTTACTTTATTATAACTAGACTTTCTCCTGGTCCCTTATTTAGATTTTCTAAATTCCTGCTATGAGTGAGACCATCCGGTATTTTTCTTTTTCTTTCTGGCTACTAATCTTTGACAAAGGAGCAAAGAATATACAATGGAACAAAGAAAGTTTGTTCAATAAATGGTGCTGGGAAAACTGGGTCGCTACATGCAAAAGAATGAAGCTTGACTATACCTCACACCATACACAAAAACCAACTCAAAATGGATTAAAGAACTAGACATAAGACCCGAAGCCATAACATATATAGAAGGAAATATAGGCGTAACACTACATGACATACACCGCGGTAACATCTTTAAAGACTCATCACCCAAAGCAGTGATAGTGAAGGCAAAGATAAATAGCTAGGACTACATCAAATTAAAGAGCTTCTGTCCACTGTCCATCTTTTGATGTCTAAAGCAAAAGCAGGGCTACCTGTTACATGTGGTGCCAGCATTGCAGACTCATCAATGGTGGAAGATACCCCAGGTACCCCCTGTTACGTAGGTATCAATCTAATTGGGCATCTTGTGGATACCCAGGCCTACCATGGAAATTGTCCTAGATTTATGGGGTCCCATACCTTTCTACACTCAGTTGTTCCAGTGTTGATATGTGAGGGCACCTGAGTCTTTAAAAATAATTGTTTATGTTCTTGGTGGAAAAGGATTCCCAATATCTCCTGTACGTTGTGCTAACCTTAACAGTTTGTGTACTGTTAAATATCAACTAAGTAAAAATAAGAAATAGTGAAGAGGAAATGAGATGAATATTTTTTTTCAGTTGTCTAGATACATCATTATTCATTTCTATCATCACTATTATTTTTATTTAATTGATAAGTGAAACTGTTCATGTGAGACTATTGGGGGTCAAATACCAAAGGACCTCCTGGGAAGAAAAGACCAGAACTCTGCTAAATGGCTATATAAAAATTCCCGGTAAGAAAAAAATTCATTAATAACATGTACATATTCTTTCCTAAAATGCAGAAAGCATCTTCAGTTGACTGGGTGATAAGTAGATGAAATAGATTGCTCTGTTTTGCTAGATCTGTTTGAATGAACAGAAATATAAACTTAATTCTTTCCTAAGATGGGTGTATTAAAAAAAATAACTTGCAATCATCATAACCATCGAGATTTAGCTGAATTGCCTGTGAAGTGAAAACAGCCTGTAATACATGAGAAAGGAGAGAATTAAAAGAAAGATTTCTGCTGAGTTGAACTGAGTGAACGTTTCTATTCAGGGTACTTAGGCTTTGTGCCAGAAGAGGGCTAAGCTACAATGCCAAGGTGACATATTTAACCTCTTTGCAGATTAAAGGCAGTGCGGAAGAGATAGTCTTTCTGCAGTACCTCTTGGTTATGTATCAGTGGTATTGATCTGCAGTGGCAAGCAAGGTTTTCACTGCAGGGTAACCTCTAATAAAGACCTAGGAGGATTGCATTATTGTTTAATGTTAGAAGACAGAGCCAGATATGGTAGTATCTTGTGAGTTATCATAATCTCATTAGCTCTTCAATTCATCTCCTGCCTTTTTGCCTACTTAACTAAGGCGTCATTAGGAATTATAGTTATTTATGTATGTGGGTGTGCATTTAAAAATGATAGAAGACAAAAAAACAATGAGTCATAAAAATATTCAAGGGAGCCAGAAAAGTGATAATAGTCACAATAACCAAAAAAATAATCAAGGACAATATAATATTTTGGAATTGTCCTACCTTTTGGTAAAACAAAATGTTCCATTTTTGCATTGCTGTTAGGTACTAAAATGGTGATAACTGAATAACTTCAGATAATTTAAACATCGAAAAAACACAAGTTATTTGATTTGAAAGCATTTTCAAAAACCACTGTCCTTATGATTTTTAATGTATTTAGTAAAACAGTTCTACAAAACACATTTCAGGATCCAGATTTCACCAGGATATGAATGCTAATCTGACTAACAACAGTTCTACATGTGCTCTTGGTTTCTCCTAAAACCTTCTTTTATTAATCTTTATAATTTAATCTTGCCCAAGAAAAGGAAACATAAATACAAAGGTTAAAATCCCCTATTAGTGAATTTTTCTATATAGCATACAAAAGGCTTTTTTTTTTTTTTTTGGTAAATAAGTGACTTTCTATTATCTAGGCAAAATATTAGCTTTATCAGATCATGCAAATAAGTTTAACAAAGGAAATTAGACAACACATTAAATTAATTAAAACTTACCTTTGGGTGGGTGGCTGTACACAGGTCCTTGGTAGAAAATTCAAGTTGAATCCCCTCTTCACACACAGCCAGGAAATAAAAGTTTGACAAATACCGAGAGAAACTCTTTAAATCTCTTTCCTCGTTAGCTTGCTTCTTTGCCCCGAAACACATTTAAGTATATTGGAGTTGAAATTCTGCTTCTCTGTCAACTCTTTGGGGTCTGAAGTGACAGACGAATTTAGAGGTTGGCGCAGGGGAGGATTTTAGATTGTCATCGGTTTTTTTTTTTTTTTTTTTTGTCGCAGATTCCTGCAGCTCCCCAGCAGGCAGGCTTCTCCCTCCCTCCCTCCGTCCCTCCCTCCGTCCCTCCCACCGTCCCTCTCCTCCGAGGGCTCTAGAAGCTTACAGGCAGCGCTAACCCACTGGGAGGGAACTGATGCTGCTGGATCAGATGGGGTTAACAATCCTTCCCTCAAGCTCTTGTTCTCGGAGCCTCATAACTTGGCCTGAATATAAGCACTTGGCTCTTCATGCATTTTTTTTTTTTCCTTTTTCAAACAACTCTAAAAGGTTTTACAAGCAGGATCCTTTTTTTTTTTTTTTTTTTTTTTTAATTTTAAGATGTTGAAAAGAAATTTCATGCTGCTGTTTGTTCCTTAAGGAAATTGCTGGTGGGGGTGCATGTTAAGGCAAGGGAGAAGATGCATTGCCGCAGATGCACTTTTACATTGCTTAACTGGGAACTGTTCTCATGAATACAGTCTGAATGTTAATAAGAGCAGGGTACTTTAGTCGTTCTCTGAATGACCTTCAAAAATTTACAGATATGGGAAGTATCATCCTTTTATATCAGATCATTTGTACGCAGATTAAGACAGGTAGTGGTTCATAGACTGTTGTAGCCCCCACGCAGTTCCCCTCTGGAACCCCCATACAATGATTGGTCTACAACAAGGATTGTATTTTCCAGTGAAGTAAACTGGAGGTAGGTATTTATATTTGTCTTGGCATCCTGATTATTTATATAAGTGTCTAATCTCTTCTACTGCTACTTCTGCATTTATTGCACATTTATTATGTGCCAGACGCTGTGTTAACAGTTTCTATGCATTATTTCAGTTGATCTTCGCAAGTCTAGATGAGGTAAGTATTAGCATTTCTCATTTGAAAGTGGCATAATATAGCAGTTGTCTGCTGCACAGCTTGCGTTTGCAGCCTGGCTTCACCCCTCCCTAACTCTCTGACCTGGTGCAGGTTATATAACCCGTCAAAGCACCAAGGACCTACTCTACTGAGGATCTAAATACGGGTTTGATGATGGTGCCCATCTCAGGTATTTGTTCTGAGTTTTAGAGTTGTTCTGAGTTTTCAGTAAGTCAATGCAAATGCTAGAACACTGTCAGCCACGCAGCATATACTCAAGAAATGTTAGTTACTGTGGTGGCAAATGAGGAGATGAAAGCTCAGTAAAGCTGAGGGATTCTTCTGGAGTCTTTAGCTTGAAATTTGCAGAGTAGGATTCCAACCCAGCTACCTTGGCAAACAGTATTGCTTCTGATTCTCCACCTCTAGGCTCTAATACCTGGTTCTGACAAGCTGTCAACTCCTAGAGGGTAGGGAGATACTCTCCCCACCCATATTATCCATGTGCCTGGCACAGTGCTTTGTGTGCTGGAAATACTCCATTAACATTAGAGGAATGGTTTTGATATAATTTAATTCACATTTCTACATTTATGCCAAAGCAGGTCCAAAGCAAGTGAGCCACAAAATCAACAATCACAAAAATGAACAAAAAGCCCACCTACAGTTCTAGGGAAATATGCCCTTAGACTATTTTCTCCAAACATGTTAAAAGCATTTTCCCTATTTATTCTTTAGAATACCAAGAGAAAGGTAATGAGAATTATCTCTATTTTGCAGTTGGGGAAATTTGGGAGCAGAGGAAACTGGGCACTTTGCCTGGGAACCGAAAACAAGTCACGGTGCAGCTGGGAGCTGTCTCACATCTCTAGAATCAGGAGTACTTGTTCCAAATCGCCTTTCCAGGCACAGGATGAGATGACGTGACATCCTTTGCCCCAGACAATGAGATGTTTTCCTTAGCCAAGGTCTAAAGTGTGAGCAGTCTCCTGAGATGCACGATCAAAGGCGTGTGCTATCTTTGACTTTGCCTTGCCTCTGTCTCTGTGTGCAAAGACACATGGTTATCTGAGATGTGTGAGACACACGTCCTGATTCTCTAACAGCTCCTGAGATCTTTGGGCTCGGTAGACCACTGCAGGATAAATAGGGCAAGAATTTCTAAAGTTTTTATCAGGGTTAGTAAAAAAAGATTTTCTTGGAAACCCAAAATGTTAATGTGTTCTAACAAGCATTCCTTTTTCATTTGAGTTAGCTTTATAAGACTGACTTCAGATATTTTGTCAATTTAATGAGTATGTTGACAAAGTTTTAGCTAGAGGAAAAGTGATTTGACCAACAAAATATTTTTTCTAATACTGAAATTAACATTTTACGTCCTAATACTGAAATTAACATTTAACATTTTATGTTTCTACATTTGACTAAAATAAAAGTTATTATAGAAACCTATGCTGATATTCAAAAAATGGAGTAAACTGAATTAGAATGGAGTAAACAAAAATTAGAGTAAACTGAATTCAGCACTTACATGTGAACACTTACTTCATCTGTAGATGGCAAAGCTTGAGAATTTTGACACTCAGTAATACTGGATATTTTCTCTAGGTCTTTTTAATCTATGGCATTATTAAAAAGATCGTTTATATTTCTTATACTAGATCAAAGGGGAAAAAAGTGTTTCAAGTTAAAAGGAATCTAAAATATTTTAACGTACGGCTTTATTCTGAGACTGTTCATTGGCAAACATCCAAACTCACTGTTTCTGAAACTGTCATTTTAAAAATGGTTTATACTTATGAAGCTGAGGACAATAAACATACAAAAAACATGTAACAGATGGAGCTGTAGATCAAATTAAAAAAAGAATCCAAAGTTTAAGTGTGATGGGAGCACTTTGGCAAATAAAGAGGCTATTTTGTTACTACGCATGAATTGACCCACAAGTACTGGTTAGAAGGGTCTAACAAAAGCCAACATCAAAGTGGAAGTATTTTTAAACATCTTTTAGTTTGGGATTCCCTCTGAGACTCTGATGAAAATGTGGGCAAGTTCCTGAAGTCCAGCTGTAACTTCTCCTACTTAGGCATTCTATGGGGCTTGAGAGCCCCTGACTCAGGTGAAGGGCTAGAGAACAATTAACCAATCTCCAAGCATCTAGCAAATATTCTTGGTATACTCTGGGCAATGATATGAAAGAAATATTCTGCCTACTTGGAGTCTAAGAGATGACTCATGCATCCATTGTCAGGAGGAGGTTGATTCTGATGCAGTGGTGAGCCCCAGTAGGAAGTGACTACAGATGAAGGGAAATTTGCAGTGAAAAAAGAGTGTCTAATTATCTTGGCAAGGACCTGGCCTCTTCTTTGCTTATACCACATGTTAATTTGCTATTGCTACTGTAGCAAATTACCACAGACTGGATGGCTTACCCAACAGAAATTTACTTTCTTACATTCTTAGACTAAAATTCCAAGATCAAGATACACAAATTTGTTTTCTCCTTGACTTGCAGATGATCTTCTCACTGCGTTCTCTCTAGTCTTCTCTGTGCTCCTGCACCCCTGGTGTCTCTCCCTCTTTTTCTTCTTCTTCTTTTTTTTTTAAGATTTATTTATTTATGCATACAAGAGCTGGGGTACAGGCCAGAGGTGTGGGGGGTGAGAGGATTCATCAGAGATGGAGTGGGGAACAACAGAACAGGCACACTGACGAAATCCACTGCTGAGGGGAGCAGTGGGCGAGACAGAAGAGGTCTGCTGCGCCATGTGACCGGGAATTGAACTCATGTTGTAGAGGCTGCGGATAGCTTCACATTGCTGTGCTTAACCCCTTGTGCCACCAGGGAGGCCCACATAAGCAGGTTTTAGGGGAGAATCCTTTTCTTGCTCCTTGTGGCCCCAGAAATCCACAGCGCACCTTGGCTTGTCCTGGCATTGCATCAATCTCTGCATCCATCTTCAAATGACCTTCTTGCCCAACCTGTCTCCTCTGAATCTCTGTGAGCCTTTTCTTGTAAGAATGCTGGTCATTGGGTTTAGGTTGTGCCCTAATCCAACATGATCTTATATTAACTTGATTACATCTGCAGAAATTTTATTTCCAAATAAGGCACATTCGAAATTACCAGGCATTGAGTCTTGAACATATCTTATTTGGGGGACACTAGTCAACCCACCACAGTTTAATCTCTGGTCTCCCCCAAATTTATCTCTTCCCCACATGTAAAATACATTTACCTCATTCCATTTTTCTTAACCCATTGCAAATATGTTAACCCATTCTAGCCTCAATGCTTGGTCCCAAATCTCATCTAAATGTCATCGATTCAACAGTTTCAAAGTTCATCATCTAAATAATATAAATCAGGCACAGAAACTATTGGTATGATCCATTCTGTGTCAAAATTCCTATTCATTTTTGGGTGTGGGAAACTAGAAAACAAGTTATCTTTTTCCAAAACACAGTCTTTGGATAGGCATAGAATAGGCATTTACATTCTGAAAAGGAGAATATTGAAGGAATAAAGGGGTCACTTATTCGAAGCAAGTTCAAAACTCAGAAGGGTATATTGTATGAGACTTCAAGCTCTGAGAATTATCCTCTGAGGCTTGATGTTCTTCACTCTGTTCCAGAGGCTCTATCCTTTGAGGTCCCACCAACCCCTGAACCACCTTCACAATTATATTACTTTTTGAGACTATAATAAAATACCATAGACAGGGTAGTTTAAGCAACAAGAATTTATTTTCTCACAGTTCTGGAGGCTAGAAATCCAATAGCAATGTATTAACAGGGTTGGTTATCTTGAGGCCTTTCCTTGGTTTGCAGATGATAACTGTCTTCTCCATGAGTCAACACACTGTCTTTCCTTTGTGTGTAATGATGTCCCAATAGCCTCTTAAAGGACACCAGTCATTAGACTAGGATCCACAATGTATAACCTCATTTTACCTTAATTACTTTAAAGACCCTAATTGCAGTAGAATTCTGATACTTCTGAATATGAATTTGGGGGAAGCACAGTACATAGAAGAGTTACCTTCTTCTTGAAGGATAACGCATATTTGCAGCCATGTAAGAAATCTGACAACCTTCATTTTACCCTGCCTCATTTCAGCCCAGGGTGGAAGTATTTCTGCTGGTATACCATTCTCAAGAGCCTTGTTGGTCTCCTGGAAAATTCATGAAGGTCCAAGACAGTACACAAGAGTGTCTTCCACAAATCTTACTGCATAAATCCATCTATATTTCTAGCTTCTGTTAATAAGGTTGATTAAATCCTTGGATCATGCTCACATGTCTAATTTCTATAGCAAAATGTTATCCAACTATATATACCCTTGGTATTCTTTCCAGAACATGCTTTCTCATCTTTTGCTATCTGGGTAGACTAGTAATTTTCCAAACCATCAAGTGTTGATTCCTTTTTTCTTAATTTCTCTCTCCATTTATATAGTTCCCTCACATTTTACTATAAGGGGAAATCAGGCCATGGCTTCCACACTTTGTTTAAAAATCTTCTCAGTTCAATATCCAACTTCATCACTTACTTTATACCAAATAGAAGATAATTCAGCAATGTTCCTGCCACTTTATAAGAAGGGTCACCTTTTCTTTAGTGTCCAATTTTACCAGAAATGCAGGGTCCTGCTTCCTGTCATTATTGAATGCCAATAAGCAGAGACAGGAATTGAATATATGAGAAGAATATTCATTTAAATTGCTGGTCAGCAATCTGAGAATGGTGGGCATCTCACCCTGAAGAAACCATTCTGACATCTCATCTCTAGCTGGCTGTTTTACAGTGAGTTGAACAAAAACAGTCATAGTGAATCAGTTCATGAGGACAACCCATCATGTACTTTAAAATTCTTTTTTTTTTTTTTTTCAGATTTATTTATACAAGAACTGGGGTACAGGCCATAGATGTAGGAGGGTGAGAGAATTCACCAGAGACAGAGCGGAGAGCAGAACAGGCAGATGGACAGAAAACACTGCTGAGGAGCACAGCGGGCAAGCAGGAGAGGTCTGCTGCACCATGTGGGTATCTCCCTGGCCAGCCTGGAATCGAACACGCACTGCAGAGGCTGCAGACAGCTTCACAGCACTGTGTTCAACTGGCTATGCCACCGGGGAGGCCTACCTTAAAATTCTTGCAAACATTACTCATTATCCAATGCCAAAGCCATTTCCACATTTCTAGGAGTTTGGGAATTAGGAATTTGAAGTATAATATATATCTTCAGTACTAAAATGTCTATTAATTTCCAACAGTTGCCATAAAAATTTACCAAAAATTGGTTGACTTGAAGCAACAGGAATTTATCTTCTCAAAGTCTGAAATCATGATGCCAGTAGGCACATGCTATGTAAGAAGACTTCATGACAAAATTCTTCCTTATCTCTCCCTAGCTTCTAGTGGCTTCCAGCAGTGTTTGATATTCCTTAGCTTGTAGCTGTATCATTTCAATTTCTACCTTTATCCTCACATGAACTTCTTTTTCTTTATGTCTCCACTGGACCTCTTAAGTGTACTTTTCTCTTTTTATAAGCACACCAGCCATTGTCTCGAAGGCCTACTCTCATCGAGTCTGACTTTATCTTGACTTAATTACAAAGACCTTACTTTCTTACTTTCTGCAAAGAACTTACTTTCAAATGTTCCTATTCACAGGTACCAGGTGTTGAAATTTGAATATATATTTTGCCGGGGCGGGGGGCGGGGCACAATTCCATCCATTACAATGTGGATTGAATATTTGACTCTAAACTTCTGTTTGATCAAAGGAAAGAGTAGGATATGATTAGAATTCATAATGTAAAAATGTAATTCAGGAAAAAGAGATACTGTGTAAAGCAGCATATGGTGTACTCTTATAGCATCCTTATAAAGTCAGGTTTCTATTTGCTGTTTCCTATTCTTTAGGTGAATAGGAAACAGAAAGAACTAAAGGCCAAGTCAGTAAAAAAAAAATCTGTAAGACTGTGACAAGTGGTTTGTAACAGCTTGGTTTTTATTCTTCAATACCAACATTAATAGAACTCCAAAAATTGTAATTGCAAGTTGCCATTAAACTGTGCTGTTTGTCCTCTGGGTATAGTTTGAGCTTACTAAATAAATTTGGATGTGCCAGAGGGATGAGTGGGCTGGGCCCTCCAGGAGGAACCAAGGACTTCTTGGGAAAAATTCATTCTAAGGGAAGCCAGGCAGACAAGATTAGTCATCAAAGTGGTGGAACAGTTTATTTTCTTTATATTAGACCCGAGAACAGCCCTCATTGGACTCAAATGCATTTTAGAAATGGGGATTCTGGGTTCATATGGAACAAATTATTTAATTAAGTCTCTTGAAAAACTGGGTCATAAGCAGATCTGCTTTCCAAACCATGTGACTCAGTGTAATGAAAAACACAAGAAGCTTTGTTGTATGGATGTGTCCACAGCACACAGAGCTACTCAGGATCTCAGTGGCTCCAGTCATGGGCAATAGTGCACAGATCATGTTGATGTTTGGGGTGCTGCTGGCAATGATATTGATTGGTAGTTGACAGTGTTCAGTGGGGCACAGGGCCTGGTGAGGTTGGCAATGTCTGGCAGTGGCAGTAATTCCAAGTAGTGTTGTCAGCAAGACCTAGTGGAGCCCAATAGAAAGGGGCCAATGTTGGTGAAAGGTGGCCCAGTCAATTATGCAGAGCAGGGCCTGCCAGGCACTGGGTATTCCCAGAGGAATCAAGGCCAGAGAAAATAGGAGGCATCATGTGATAACTGGGAATCTGGGAACACATGAGAAATCTCTGAGGCATTAGGAAAATGAGGATTGAGTCAAATGTTGAGGTGGAGGGCTGAGTTTAAAGAGTAGAGTCGAACATCAAATAAATGAAGCTACAGTGGTTGAGGAAAGAAACAAGAGATTTTTAATCTGTATATTTTCTTCTGAAATTACTGAAGATCATTCTCAGTTTAATCAAAGGTAACAGCTTCTTTTATATGTTCTAGTTTATGAAAATAATTTGCACCTGTGTAAGAGCAGGCTTTTTCATTTAGTAGTTGAGAGGTCAGTTCCCTTTTTTGTATTCCTGAAGTCCTTCACAATAGCAAGAAATCCTTTCTCCTCCCCCCCTTTCCTTCCCTTTCTTTCTTATTTCTCTGAGAAATTTTTATCACCACTGACAAATTTCAAAAGAACCTAGTATGCTGGCATTTGGCTATGAGCTTGAATTGTCAAATCCATTACTAAGATGTAAGGTTACATGTGTTTGAATCCCAGCTCAAAAAAGTTATATGTAATTATATTTACTGCTTTGATGCTGAATGGGTAAATTCTAAATTGAAGTATATTTGGAGCTGAACTTTCATATCTATCATTTATTAGAGCTTTAATTTTTTTTTAAGATTTGTTTATTTATGTATATAAGACATTGTGTAGGCCAAAGGTGTGGGGGGGGGGTGAGAGGATTCACCAGAGACAGAGTGGGGAGCAGAACAGGCAGATCTACTGACATACACTGCTGAGGGGAGCAGCGGGTGAGACAGGAGGGGTCTGCTGTGCCATGTGGGTGACCTCCCTGGTCAGCCGGGAAATAGGACTCGCACTGCAGTGACTGGCGATAGCTTGATAGCTTGATAACACTGTCTTTAACCCCTGTGCCACCATGGAGGCCCTATTATAACTTCAGTCTTTTGTGCCTACCTCCCTGTCAGGAGCCAGATTATCAAAGGATATCAGAAAGTCCTGATAGGATCTTGCTAATCACTTGCTAATTTTACTACCCTTCAATCTAGATTACACCAATCTAGCCCTGGGAAGATGGAGTACATGTTCCAATCCTTCTCTTTCCCAGAGGAGATGTAGTAGAGTTGATGGGCCAGACAGACCTGAATTTAACTGACAGTTCTGATGCTTCCTGGCTGTGTGATCTTGGGTAAGTTACTTAATTCTTTGTGTCTCCATGTCCTCATCTGTCAAATGGGGATGATAATGACGCCTACATCACAGGGTAATTGCAAGGAAAAGAGAAGATGTTTGCATAGTGCTTTGTCCAATACCTAACTGGACAAAGGTTCAGTTAATAATAATAATGACAACAATGATGATAACATAAGACATCCATCAGGAACCAAAACAGTGTTGGTGATTATCAGGAAGCCTTCTCTAATGGGAACTAGAACGCCTCCTCTTTTCACATAAACTGCTAACATACTCTGTGAGGGAGGCTGACTTTCAGGGAGAGGGATGAAGTATCTTTTTAGTCAAGCTCTGAAAACATAACAGCTGCTCTCATCAATCCCTGAGGGCTTATGTCTGTCTTTTCTCAGCCATAACCCTCACTGAGTCTGGGGATTGAGCCTTGCTGTGCAATAGCTATATAGCAGCTTTTCATTCATACCTCACCTTGGAACAGTCACACAGAGCCCAATCTAACACATTGTTTGGGCCAAACAAAGGGCAGCTGGACATCTTTATATATTTATGTATTTGACTTGCAGGATGTGACTAGTTCACCAAGACTAAAGTTTATAACTGGACCTTCTCCTGGATGAGGTCACTGTGTTGTTATTAGCCAAAACCCACCCTCTTCCAAATCTCTGTGATGTTTTTTGGCTGTAGTGTTAAGTTCCCAAAACACGATGCTTTAGACTAAGAAGTACTGCTTGTGTAATGAAACAGGCCTATTTTGGACATTTATTCCAGTGCTTGTGTTTTCTTCTTGGTTTGAGCAAGAACATTCATACTTTTGTTGCTGTTTCAGTTGCTTTCGCCTGGTCTGGTTGCACACATGAGTGCTAGTGGTGGTGCTAGTACTGAGGCTGGATTTCTAGTAAATGGGAAGAGAGCCAGATTGGGCTATTCGGCATCCATAATGGCATTGACTGGCTGGCCACTCGAATGGAGACAATATCAACTTGCAAAATAACATTTTCTCTAGTCTATTATTTCTGAAAATTTCCTTTTCACTCTCCTAAGGGAATTTTGAACATTTTTTTTTTTAAGATTTATTTATTTATACAAACACTGGGTATAGTCAGAAGCACGGGAGGGTGAGAGAATTCACCAGAGCCAGAGCAGGGAGCAGAACAGGCAGACAGATGAAATACACTGCTGAGGGGAGCAGCGGGCATGGCAGGAGAGGTCTGTGTGCCATGTGGAACCCTCACTGGTGGCCGGGGATCGAACTGGCACTGCAGAGGCTCCAGGCAGCTTCACAGCCCAGCACTCAACCGCCTGCGCCACCAGGGGAGGCCCTTGAACAATTTTTTTCCCCACATTTTATTTAAATTTTATTTTTTATATTCCCCATACAATTACAACCCCCTTATTTTGACCCCAAGCCCTCCTTTCCCCACCCCCCACCCGCCCATAGAGTGTCTCTGGTTCATAGTTGGTTGTAGATTTTGATATTTTCTTTCTTGTAGTTATTCTTTTTCCTGATCCCTTATTTAAGTTTTCTAGATTCCTGCTATGAGTGAGACCATTTGGTATTTTTCTTTTTTTTCTGGCTTATTTTGCTGAGCATGATCCCTTCCAGCTTCATCCATGTTGCTGCAAATTGCATGTGTTTATCTTTTTTGAATGCTGAGTAATATTCCATTGTGTGTTGCATGTCAAGTATACTGTATATCTGTTTATATACTCTATCAACATATATAATATACATACATACATACATACATACATATATATACATACATACATATAAATAAATATATAAAGAACAGGGGGTTTCATCCCTTCCAAAAACCAGTTTTGCCCATTGGCTAATAAGTCTCAACAATTGACTGACTACAGCTCGTACTTCAAAATACACAATTTACTGTGGCATAATCAATTGGTAATTATAATTTATGTTGGGGAAGCAAGTTATCCATGTATTCCTGTGAGCCCTATTTAATATTCATAGAACCATTTCTTACCTTACAAACTTTCATAAAGGGACAAGGTATAACTTGTTGAAAAGCAGTCAATATTTTTCATAATTATAAATATTCCTGTCTTGTGAGCACTTCTCATTTCATAGTTAGATGAGATTCAACAAAAATAGGAGGAAAAATATCTCATACTTGTCTTCTTCTTCATTCCTGTGATCACTTTCTTATTTATTTATTTTCTTACATTGTTGTTAATTTTTGGACAGTATTTGATTTCTCCCAAAACCACAGCACCCATGGTCCATCACCATAGTCTCTTGTGCTCTCTCCTCCCCTTCCCTGCTGTATGCCTCGGATCTATGATCGGCTTGCAAATTTTGTCTTTTTTCTAACCCCATGTTTGTTTCCTTTATATTCTATATATAGTGAAACCATCCAATATTTACCTTTTTCCTTCTGACACTTCTCTTAGCATAATCTCTTCCAGCTCCATCCATGTTGCTGCAACTGGCCTGAGTTTATCTTATTTGATTGCGGAGTAGTATTCCATTGTGTATCTGTACCACATCTTCTCTGTCCTCTCCACATCTTCATCTGTTTTGGGGGTATTTATGTTGTTTCCGTATCTTGGTTATTGTAAATAGTGTACAATAAACATAGGAGTGCAGGTTTCCTTTCAGATTAATGTTTTTGTGTCCTTGGGGTAGATTCCTAAGAATGGAATGACTGAGTCATATGGTCGATTCATTTTTAGTTTTTTTGTTTTTTTACTTTATTTATTATTTTTTTAAGATTTATTTATTTATTTATACAAGCACTGGGTACAGTCAGAAGCGCGGGAGGGTGAGAGAATTCACCAGAGCCAGAGCGGGGAGCAGAGCAGGCAGAAGGACCAAAGCACACTGCTGTGGGGAGCAGCGGGCGGCAGGAGAGGTCTGTGCGCCATGTGGGACCCTCCTTCGGTGGCCGGGGAGCAGCCGGGGATCGAACCGGCGCTGCAGAGGCTGAGGGCAGCTTTGCAACCCAGCGCTCAACTGCTGCGCCACCGGAGAGGTCCCCATTTTTAGTTTTTGAGGAACCTCCACACAGCTTTCCATAGTGGCTGGACCAGTTTACATTCCTACTGACAGTGTAAGAGGGTTTGTTTTTCCCCACATCCTTGGCAGCCTTTTTTTTTTTTTTTTTTTTTAATTATGGGTCATTCTCACAAGTGTGAGGTGTTATCTTGTAGTGATTTTGATTTGCATTTCCCTGATAATTAGTGATGCTGAACATTTCTTCAAATGCCTGTTGAGCCATTTGCATTTCTTCTTTGGAGAAGTGTCTTTTTAGCTTCTCTGCCCATTTATTTTTAAAGATTTTATTTATGCCTACAAGAACTGGGGTACAGGCCAGATGTGTGGGGGTGAGAGGATTCACCAGAGACAGAGTGGGGAACAGAACAGGCAGACAGACTGAAACACACTGCTGAGGGGAGCACCGAGTGAGACAGGAGAGGTCTCCTGCGCCATGTGGGTTGCTCCCTGGCTGGGGATCGAATTCGTGCTGCAGTGGCTGCAGAAGCTTCATAGGTTGCTCTTAACCCCTTGTGCCACCAGGGAGGCCCTCTGCCCATTTTTTGATTAGGTTGCTTGCTTTGTTTTTGTTGAGTTGTATAAGCTCTTTACAGACCTTCGATATCAGTTCCTTATCAGATGTATGGGGTACAAATATTTTCTCACATTTAGAAGAGTGCCTCTTTCCTTTGGTTGCTGTCTCTTTTGCTGTACAGAGGCTTTTTAGTTTGTAATATTAGCTGTTTATATTCTCCTTTGTTTTCCTTGCTTCTGAAGAGTAGTCCTCAAAGATGTTTCTGAAGCTAATGTCATGGAGTGTTTTGCCAATGTTTTCTTCTATGTATTTTGTGGTTTCAGGTCTTAGACCCAAGTCGTTATCCATTTTGAACTGATTTTTGAATATGCTGTGAGACAGTAGTCTAGTTTCATTCTTTTGCGTGTTGCAGTCCAATTTTTCCAGTACCATTTATTGAAGAGTCCATATTCCAATATATATTCTTTGACCCTTTGTCATATATAAGTTGACTATATACATGTAGTTTTATTTCTCAGCTTTCCATTTGATTCCATTAATCTGTATATCTGTTTTTGTCCCAGTAGTATGCTGCTTTTATTATTATGGCTTTGTAGTTTAGTTGGAAAACTGGGAGTATAATACCTCTGTTCTTCTGTTTTTCAGTCAGGCGAGCTTTGGCTATTTGGTTTTTTCTTTCCATTTCTTTGTGTCTCCTTATTTTTCTTTTAGCAATGTTCTTTAATTCTTCATATACAGTTCTTTCACTTCTTTTGTTAGGTTTATTCCTAGGTTTTTAATGGGTTTTTTTGGTATAATTGTAAATGGGATGGTTTTCATAATTTCTTTCTCTTCAAAATGATTGTTTGCATATAGGAAGGCTATGATTTTGTGTATTGATTTTGTAAACTACTACTTTACTGAACTGGTTTATTGTCTTAATTAGTTTTTCTGTGGAATTTTTTAGGATTCTCTCTATACATTATCATATCTTGATGATCATTTTACTTCTTTTCCTATTTGGATATCTTTTATGTTTTTCTCTTGCCTAATTGATCTAACTAGGACTTTTACTATTTTATTGAAAAGCAGTGGTGAAAGTGGACATCCTTGTCTTATTCCAGATCTTAATGGAAAGGTTTTTAGTTTTTCACCATTGAGAATGATATTAGCTGTGGGGTTGTCATACATGGCTTTTATTATGTTAGGCTTTGTTCCTTTTAGCCCAAGTTTTTCAAGGGTCTTCATCATGTTGACCTTTCTTGGCATCTATTGATATAATCTTATGTTTTTTTATTTTTCTTTTTGTTGATGTGGTGAATTACATTAATTGATTTTCCTAAATGGAACCATCTTTGTGTCTCTGGAATAAATCCCACTTGGTCATGGGGTCTAATATTTTTTATGCATTTTTGGGTTCAGTTTGCTAATATTTTATTGATGATTTTTGCACATAATTATATTCTTAATGGAAACCCTGTCACTTCCCATCCAACTGTTTTCTCCCTCTGAACTCATTTTCCCAAGTGCAGTTGTCCTCAAGGGATAAAGAGTTAATAAAGCATTAATAAAGCAGAAGTAAGAAAGTTTTACACTCTGGACAATGATGACTGGCTGCTGACTAAGATTTCTGTGTCAGGAAGACAGGAAGGAGTTTGGAATGTGGGAACTAGAAAACACATGATCCATCTAAAGGTTGCAGCTACCATTCAACTCTTCCAGTCTTACGGTCATGAGGAAATGAAATCCTAGTGTTGCCAGATCATTTGTTGTTTTGAAGCAAATTTAAAAATCTAATATTTATGTGATTATAAATACTAAATACTGGCCAAGTATTTAGGCCAAATAAGAGGTCTATCAGTTGTTTGGGCTACTGAGAACTAATTTTTGATTTCAGTTTCAAATACCTCCTCTCTCTCTAATATAATTCATCTTGAACAGTACTTAAAAAAACTCAACTCTCTTGAATTGTTACTCATATCATGTCCTTCTCCTGCTTAAAAGCTTTCAATAGTTTCTCCTTGCCCAACAAATCAATTCTATACTTGTGAGCTAGACATTTAAAATTATCAGCCACTTTATATATTATCTTCCATTCACCTATCTAAATACCAACATCTCTGTTTTCTTTGCTTTATAATGTTCCCTCTCTATGCTTTTGCTAAGGTAGCTTCCCTGTCTGAAATCTTTATCCTTAAATCCTGCCTATCTGCCAAGGTCCAACTCAGAAGATTCATTTCCAAGAAGCCTTCTTTGCTACCTCTGATAGAAATTTATTCTTTCCCTGAACTTCAATAACAGTTTTTTTTTCCATTTTTTAATTGCATATATATTTTTACATCATTTTTTCATGTTTGCACAATGTATGCATTTTCATCTTGGTTATGGTCCCCATACAATTCCCACCCCCCTTGTCTTGATCCTACTCCTGCCTTCCCCACCTGTAGTGTGTCTCTGGTTTATAGTTTCTTGTTGGTTTTGATTTTTACTTTATTATAATTAGTCTTTATCCTGGTCCCTTATTTAGGTTTTCTAAATTCCTGCTATGAGTGAGACCGTTCAGTATTTTTCTTTTTCTTTCTGGCTTATTTTGCTGAGCATGATCCCTTCCAGCTCCATCCATGTTGCTGCAAATGGCATAAATTTATCTTTTTGATTGCTGAGTAATATTCTATTGTGTATATATATCACATCTTCTTGATCCAGTCATCTGTTTTTGGGTATTTGGGTTGTTTCCATAGCTTAGCTTCAATAACAGTTTTAAAAATATTTTTTATTGTGGTAAAATGCACAAAAAAATCACATTTACCACTTTAAGGATTCTTATGTTTACATTTAGTGATATTAAATTCATAATACTATTGTGTAACCATCAACACCACCTGTCTCCATAACCCTTTTCATCTTATAAAACTGAAACTTTATAAAACAGTAACACTTTTCATTCCCTTCCACCCCTTGAAGCCCTGATAACTACCATTTTACTTTCTGCCTCTATGCTGCTGACTACTCTGAGCACCTCATGTGAATGACACATTATTTGTCTTTTGTGATGGACTTGTTTCACTCAGCATAATATTCTCTAGGTTCATCCCTGCTGTAGTGTATGTCAGAGGTTCCACTTTTGTTAAAACAGAATAGTATTCTGTGAAATATATACCACATTTTGCTTACTATGCATTCACTAATGGACATTTGGGTTGCTTCCATGCTTTCTGTTATTGTAACAATATTGCTGTAAACATGGACATGCCTACATTTCTTCGAAACCTTGTTTTTAATTCTTTTGGATATACATCCATAATTGAAGTTGTTGGATCATATGATAATTCTATTTTAAAAATTTGGGGGACTGGTCATAATGATTTCCATAGATGTTCTACTATTTTACATCCCCAAACAGAGCCTGGAAAATTTCCAATGTTCCCACATCGTCACCAAAAGCAGCACACCAACCATATCCTTTCTCTTCCTATCTCAGACTTTATTCAATGTCATATTAGAATAACATATTAACTTGTATTTTTCTTTGGCATTATTACTTTTCTTTTTTAATCTAGTTTTATGCAAACATGTCCTTTTCCCTCTACTAGGTAATATTTTAAGATAGGGACTATTTTTTACATAATCTTGATATCCTATAGTGGCAAATACTCAACAAATACTTTTTGAATGACTTTGTGTCTCTCTTGATTGTTTCATCCACCAGATCACCCCTCCTCCAGTCTCCAAAAGTTTCAAATCTACTGGTGTGCTACTTGAAGAGGATCAAGAGAGGAGGCAAATAGGAAGAGTGATATGCAAGGAATGACCAGGTCTCTCATGCATTTGCTTAAAACCCTCCAAAAACTTTAGCTCAAATTTGAGTTCTTAAAGTATTTCTAAACTTTGATCATTGAAGATTTAATACAATGTCTACTGACCCTTGTTTTATTTATTTATTTTAAAAAGATTTATTTATTTATGCATACAAGAACTGAGGTACAGGCCAAAGGTGTGGAGGGTGAGAAGATTCACCAGGGACAGGGTGGGGAACAGAACAGGCAGACTAACCAAAACACACTGCTGAGGGGAGCAGCAGGCGAGTCAGGAGAGGTCTGCTGCGCCATGTGTGTAGGTAGCTCCCTGCCCGGGGATCGAACTTGTGCTGCAGTGGCTGTGGAAAGCTTCAAAGGTTGCTTCTTAACCCCTTGCGCCATTAGGGAGGCCCTGACCCTTGTTTTATGATGCTGTTAAATATCATGCCAATTAAAAATAATTGGTCTGACATTTTGGAAGGACTAAACGAGTGATGCCACGGTTACCTGACAAAGAAAAAAAATTCGATGTCTCATTTGCCTGCTGTGGTCCTGTGCACAAGCTTGCAAGTGGCCACAAGGGGGGAGTATGGACCAATGTCATCTCGTGCAGATGCTCATAAACCATGAGTCATTTTTGCTCTAGCTGAATGCATTCTCAAAAAGTCAGCTGAAGAATCAAGCTGATTGTCAGAGAATGATTGTTGGTTTGCCTTTTATGTGTTCTGCGAGAATGTTACCTTCAGCTCTTGCTGTGGTGTGGCAATTATACTATAATCCTCCCTGGAAGAAATATTTATGGAGGAGGACCTGAGGATATGCAATCTTTCTGCCTTAATTATTTTACATTTGCAATAAACCAGAATCCTGACAAAACTGTTTTTGGATCACCTTGTTTTGTCCCCTAGAGAATGGTTTGTATTGAATTTGTGATTTTGTATGATTTTATCAGCCAATATTGAAGGATACCTTAGGGAGCAGCTGCTTACAATCTATTATTATAGCAACATAAGGATGGTGTCCACAAATTCACACAATGTTCTGTTTTATGGACCCATGGGAAAAATCTTGCTCAAAGTTACAAAATGCAGGAAAAGCTGTGTTTTTTCAGGAAAACTTGTTTTCTTTTACTTATTGACTTTGTACATATTTTAACTTCCCATGCTTCTTTCTTTTAATTACTGGGAGGCTTCGGTTAGTTAACAAATACTTATGGAGTGCCTACTATATGTCAGGCACTGCTGCTGCTGGAGACATATCAGGGAGAATAAGACCATTTTTGTCCTCATGAAGCTTCTAGTTGAATGAAAGAGACAGATACTCATTAATCACTGAGATGATTGTGCAAACTACAACCTGAAAACTGCTATGAAGGAAGGGAATTGCCATAGTGCAAGAATACATGAGAGGAAGGGCAGTCTGGAAGGTGGCAGCAGAGTGGCGATGCCAGGCCCCCCTCCTACACATATTCACAACTAAATTGCAGCAGAGTAAGGTCAATTACCCCTGAAGATAAGTGAACAACTACCGCATATATCATGAGCAACTGTCCAAGAGCAAGGTGAAGGAAAAAATGCAATTAAACTGTGTTCACAGTGATATTGGGGCAGTACAACACCAGAGAGGGAGGGTGACTTCTGCACAGACCCCCCCTGCTACTTTTGACACAGGGGCACTCATCAGAGACATTGGAGGCCCAGCACCGTGCTGGAGAAGGGGGTGCACAGAGTTGTTGTGCAAGACAGTAGTGGGTGCACTGCTAGAGAACTAGAGGAGGGAAGAGCAGGATGATAAATACTGGCTTAAGCTTGAGGATCCCAAACCAATGGTAGAGCCAGATCCCAGCACCTGTGTCTCTTTATAAAAGAGGTGATTATTTGCTGTTTGTGGCAGTGATATTCCAAACATCTCTCTTGCTTCCACCCAGGGCCAAAACCAAGACAACAACTGAATGCTGTCACTAAAGCACAGCCTATCATCTCTTCTACAAATGGTGCTGGGAAAATTGGAAGGTCCAATGTAAAGGAATGAATTTGATCACTCTCCAACTCCATGAACAAGAATAAATTTAAAATGGATAAAAGCCATAGATGTAAAATCTGCAACAATAAAATATATACATGAAAATATTGGTGATATGTTTTATGACATCAAAAAGATGGCTTTGGAAAATAGACCTCTTTGGCAAGGGAAATAAAAGCAAAAAGTAACAATTGGGATTACTTCAAATTGCAAGGATTTTACACAGCAGTGGAAAATATAAGTAGATTAAAAAGACATTGCACTAGACGGGAGAAGATATTTATACATTACACAACCAAAAAGAGGTTAATATCCAAGATACATAATTTTTTAAACAATTTAACAATAAACAGCCCAATTAATAAATCTTCAGCAGATCTGAACAGACAATTCACCAAAGGATATCCAGAAGGCCAACAGATAGTGTGAAAAAATTCGTCATCACATAGAAAGGGAGATGCAGGTAAAGACCGCAATGAGATGCCATCTCACGGCCTTGAAAATGGAACATATTCAACCACTGTGGAAAGCTGTCTGGAGGTTCCTCAGTATACTAAAATGGAGCTACCATATGACCCGCAATTCCACTGCTAGGGATCTACCCAAAGGACACAACATTGATCCAAAGGAACACCTGTACACCCATGTTTATTGCAGCACTATTTACTATAGGCAAAACCTGGAAACAACCCAAATGCCCAAAAATAGATGACTGCATCAAGAGGATGTGGCACATATACACAATGGAATATTATTCAGCAACCAAAAAAGATAAACTCATGCCATTCCCAGCAATGTGGATGGAACTAGAAGGAATTATGCTCAATGAAATAAGCCAGAAGGAAAAAGAAAAATATCGCGTTGTTTCACTTATCGCAGGAATATAGGGGAACCAAATAAGACATTAGTGTAAAAAATAATAACAGTACAAAGCACAACAAAGCAAAAACAGACAATTATAAATCAAAGGCATACTGCAGGGGAGGAGGAGGGAGGGAGGAGCACAGGGGACTGAGGTGATGGTGCATGGGTGCATTGGTGAAGGAAACTCTATGGGGACTACACCTGAGGGGGTGGGGGAATCAAATATTGTTTAAAAATGAACAAGGATGTAAAAAATTTTTAAAAAAAGACCAAAAAAAAAAAAAAAAAACCCACCAAAATCAACTTTTAGAAAGTTTGGAAATTCAAAGGCATAAAAACCACTGAAGTTTGTTCATTGAAAAATTGAAACAAAACAATAAAATGGTCAAATCTTGGTTAAAAAAAAGAAAATGGGACATATTAAAAAGACTCCAACAACAAGTGCTAGCAAGGATGCTATAAACCTGCTGATGGGAATATGAACTGGAGAAGTCATTTTAGAAAATGATCTGGATTTACCTTAAAAAACAAAAATGGAGGGCCTCCATGGTGGTCTCCATGGAGGGCCTCAGTGGTGGCGCAGCTTCAAGCACAGCACCATGAAGGTCTCCGCAGCCTCTGCAGCACGAGTTCGATGCCTGGTGGGCGAGGGAGCTACCCACATGGCGCAGCAGACCTCTCCTGTCTTACCTGTTGCTCCCCTTAGCAGTGTATTTCAGTCAGTCTGCCTGTTCTGTTCCCCACTCTGTCTCTCTCACACCCCACATCTCTGGCCTGCATCCCAGCTCTTGTATGCATAAATAAATAACTCTTAAAAAAAAATCCCAAAAACAAAAATGGAAATACCACATGATCCAGCAATCTTTCTCTTGGGTATCTGTCCAAAGAACATGACACCATCAACTCAAAAATTACATGCTCTATAATGTTTATTTCAGCATTATTTACTATAGCTCATATATTCACATAAAAGATTACCAATCAACCATAAAGGAAGACAAATGTTGCCACTTACAGTAAAATGGAAAGAGTTCGAGGGACTTCCATATAGTTAAGATAAGTCAGAACAACAAAGACAAATATCAGACATTTACACAGTGGACAATTTGACTAAGCAAAATATTTATAAAAACTAGTAGACACTAATAGTCAAATTGAGGTTTCTGAAGTTAAGAGGATGGGGGAGAGGGAGAAAGGACCAAAGGGGCATAAGGTATCCGGTGAGGAAAAAACCCATGAAATTATTTCCCTGATTTGCAGTGGTGTGAACCTATACCTCTGAAACATATACTGAGCTGTAAATAGTGTTACCTCAATTACATTAAAAAAAAATTATTCTCTTAAAAAAATAAAGAAAGGAGGACTGGACTAAACTTTAAGATGTGTCTTTGTACTCAAGGATGAGTAGGAGTTTTCTAAGTGACAGGGAAAGGGACAGCATTGTACATTCTGGCAACTCCTTCCAACTCGAGAACATGGATTGGCTTTGTTCTGATGGCATCTGGAAGTTTACCTTACCTTTCCTTAGCAACACTTCGGGATCTAAAGTTTCAGAATTTTTTTTTTTTTTTGGAAGATAGGCTTACTAGCAATTTAGCCTTTCTTCTAGCTCTGTAAAATATTACAATCAGTTACCTCTAAAAAACACTTCATTAATAAATAGGCCAAGTGAATAAGAAGGCAGTATTTTATAGTTGCTTTTAAAAATTATAAACCTTCATTCTGTAGCTTTATTGAGGTTAAAATGTACTGATAAAAGAGTCCCAGAGGAAGCTCTGTGGTGAGACATTCTTGCCTTCATCTGTTGTTGTTTGCACTATTGAGCTGAACCAAAGCCTTTAATGGGAACAATAACAAAAACATCAATGCCTCTTCCTTTCCTTGGTCAGGAAAAGGTCTTTTTGGAGCCCTTACTCATTGTAGTAAAACATGTTTAATTTAGGGCCTCCCTGGTGGTGCAGGCGGTTGAGCGCTGTGCTGTGAAGCTGTCCACAGCCTCTGCAGCGCGGGTTCGATCCCCACCTGCAGGCGAGAATCAGACGTGGCGAAGCAGACCTCTCCTGTCTCACCCACTGTTCCCCTCAGCAGTGTATTTCGTAGTCTGCCTGTTCTGTTCCCCGCTCTGTCTCTGGTGAATCTTCTCACACTCCCATGCATCTGGCCTGTACCCTGGTTCTTGTATTAATAAATAAATCTTAAAAAAACAAAAAAAAAGTTTCATTTAACAGACAGGAGGGAAAGGAAGGAAGAAAAAACATGAATTGGAGATAGTAGTTAAGAGTGCTTACACCTCATGTGACTTTTCCAGAAAGACCCTTCCTGAGCTTCAAAACATCCCCAAAACATTCCTGCCACAGGTCTCAGAGCTGGCCGCCTTTCTATCTGGAATCCCTTCCTCTGTGTAACCATCACTGTGACTTGCTTACCTCTTCTAGTTTGTAATTGACTGTTACCTCTTCAGTGAAGAGGTAAATAGATAAACAGATCTACCATCTTACATAAAGTTGGTGACACTGCCTGCCCTCCAACTCCTGGTTCCTTTCACCCTATCTGAGGGGTTGGCAAACTATGACCACCAGTTCCTATAAATAAAGCTTTACTGGACTCAGTCATACTCAATTTTTTATGTCTTGATTATGCTGCATATAGTGCCAGAGTTGAGAGACAGCGTGGGCTACAAATTAGCCCTTCAGGAAAACTTGTCAACCCGACTCGATTCTATTTTTCCCTATTTCATTTATAATCTTCTAATCTAATTTATAGCCATATAAACCGAATATAAATTATATCTCTATACTCACTTTAAATATATACTTTTGTTTTAAATACACAGTTACTTTTTTTAAATCTCAGAAGGGCAACTGTTTTTCTTTGTTTACAAATACATTGTAAGAGTTTAGGACAGTGATGACTAAGTCTTCAATAACAATTGAAAGAATGAATGAATACAAGTGTTCCACAAAGATTGGACAGTGAGTTAGGATCATTATCACATTTCCAAAAATTTTCCAGCGGGGAGAATATTCACACCATCATAGATTCTCACCCTGACATGGAGAAAGTTGTGAATATCACAAGCTTCTCAATTACTGCAGGAGGCTATGCTTTTACAAGTTTGCTCTGAGCCCTACATACCTTCTTACCTCCACAGAACACCTACACAATCCCAAAATATCCACTGGAGGAAACGGCTTTTTTATAAAAGTAAATATCTTTTGCCACTCGAAGACATTTGGTTTTCTTGGGGCCGTACTATTTTCATGTTCAGACAGAGGCAGGTCTATTTTTACACCACAGCCAGACAAGACTTAACTATTGAGCCAAATGGGCAGGTGCGTTTTCAAACTATATCTTTATTTCACAAAGAAGGAGAGGAAGCTTACTTTTGACCAAGGAAATAAAAGGTTCAGACTTCTGGTTTCTTTAGCAATTGATAAAAATGTTCATGTGTGTTACATGTCTTCATCACATCAACACATTCCAATTTATATAAAAATGTATCTTGTCTTTGCACACTATCCACATAGCCATTGCAAAGCGTTAAGGTTGGATCACATCTAACCAGAATTCTGAAATTTCCTTTTTATTTCTGATGAACTTTTAAAACTTCTGTCAGAGTTTTCAAAAGTACTGATATATCAACCTCATTTGTTTATAGATAGTTTTTCTTTTTTTTAAAGATTTATTTATTTTTACACAAGAGCTAGGGTACAGGCCAGAGGCGCGCGAGGGTGAGAGGATTCACCAGAGACAGAGCGGGGAACAGAACAGGCTGAGGGGATCAAAATACGCTGCTTAGGGGAGCTGCGGGTGACAGGAGAGATCTGCCGCGGCATGTGGGAATCTCCCTGGCCGGCTGGGAATCGAACTTGCGCTGCGGAGACTGCGGACAGCTTCACAGCGCTGCGCTCAACCTGCTGCGCCACCGGGAAGGCCCTAAAGATAGTTTTTGAGGGTGAGCATCAGCTAGGTAAGGGTTGTAACTGGATTATCTCATGACAGACTCTTCTGTTGGTGATTTTGTTTTTAGCAAAGTCTGAGGACATTTTTTATTGTCAAGACTGGGAAAGTGCTGCCATCATCTCAGTGCTACTTAGCTAGAGATGTTCTAAACATTCTGCAATGCCCAGCCCCCACAAACCTCTGAACAAAGACTTATTCTGTCCAAAATATCTGTAGTGACAGCACGAGAAACCCTGTCCTATAGCATAGTTAACATTTC